CTCAGCTCTATTCTAAAGTAACTTGATGGGTCTTATTTTTAAGCATTTATTGCATAAATAGAAGGACAAACAAAAAAAATCATTTATCTTTGTTTTTTAAACGTAAGTTAATGGGAGGGCAGGAATGGAGGGTAGATGAGAGGTATTTTTTACAATTTTATTTTTAAAGTACATTTCAGTGAGCTATTAGACACTATATTTTCTTCCTTCAGTTCCGAGCTTTGGCTTTTTAAAATATTCTCACTCGCATTACCTTCTCTATATCCTAAAGCAAAACAAGTTAGATCAACAAAAAGAACCACATTTGACAGATGCTAGACTCTCAAGTAACATGGTTGAACAGAGCAAAAAGTAATATATAACAGCATAACATTTTCTTTGTTTCCATATAACTGTGGTGATCTGCCATTAACCAAAAAGTTTTGGCTTCGCTCATTTGAGCTAGATGTAATTTCCATCTAACAATCCAAGTGCGTATTTCTATCAAACATCAGCAAAGTTCCTCAAGCTCTGTGGCTTGGCTGTCCTTGCTTGCTGAATTTGTGCTAAGGTAGCTGCATAGTCATGATATTTATCTTTCAATGACAGTTATCCATCGGCCTAATGTGGCAGTTCCTATGTACCCAGCTGTTTTTCACTATCTTGAGGCCACTTCCAGGAATATGCAGTACTATTCTCCCAGAAAGAACTGTTCACATGGATAGGATCTCACTAATAGCAGGTTATGTGTGAACCTTCTCTTTAAATCCTTTTAGAACTCTCCAAGTTGTAGATGGATGGTTCTTGCTTCAAGAGATGTCCCAGCATACTCTATGGTGGTGACAGAACCCTCACTGGAGTATAGAGATAGCTTATGTAAGTGGCATTTTAAAATATGTCACAGTTTGCAAAGTTTGATTTATTTTTTTTAAAGAAAGATTCCAAAGGGTGTTTAAAAATAAAATACGAACTGACATATATTTTAAAATTGTATGTGCCTGTTATCACATGCTCCAGTGGGCTCTATGACAGACATGTGGGTGCACCTAGCATAACATATTCTAGAACATCTCTGAAACTTTTCTGATCCTAAAAAGAGTAATGTTCTCTAAGCCTCCTTCATGTGTGGTACTACTGTGGGTCCCCTTGCTATTTGGGATATTTAGCCTGTAATCATGCTTTTATTTATTTTTATTTTTTTAATGTAAGTATTTGTAGGACACTAGCCTAACATGCTGTTCCCAGAGAGCTAGAAAAATGCTTATACACACAGAAGGAATCAAACAAGGGAGAGCCAAATCCAGGAATGTTCTTGGGGAAATTTTTTCCTTTCCAAATGGGAAGAAAGCAAAATTAGTAAGTGGTTGGTGTTTTGTTTTTGTTTTGTTTTTTTCCCCCCTCCTCCATATTTTTAAGACCTGTATTATACCAGAGTGGGTGTTTCTTTTATGGAAAAGTTTTTGATGCACCAAAACATACACAGCAAACTCCTTTGTTTTAAGTAAAAATGGATTTTTATACTTCAGAAAAATATAAATGTGCATCAAAAATTAAAATGTAGCAGAAAGTGACCTGAAGTAAAAAAAATTTAAAGAAAAACAATTGAATTTAAACTTCCTGTGAACTTACCAAAAACATTTATTTACATACTACCATATCTTTCTTAGAGAAATACCTGTTTTCAGATGTCGAATGTGCAATGTGGTGTGCTAACTGGTTTCAGCTTTACAAACAATAGTGAGATTTGTGTGTGTGTATTTAAGATGTTAAAATGGTAGAGCAGTTCTTTTCCACAATGATTTTGAAAAATACAATCTAGAATCTGTTTTCTTCCCCCATACAAGCTCCACTAAAATATATGGATATGTGGCAAAATCAAAACTCTGCATTGTGTGAAAAATGTATGTTCTTTTATCAATTAGACTGTTAAACTCATTCTCACAAGTTACCATAGTGGATAAAAAAAAATTAGCAGGATTAAAAAAATCTGATACAGGAAAAACAAGTTTACACAGAGTAGTTATAGTAAATAAAGTTTTTGAAGGGATAGAAACCCTCCTGCTTCAGCTGGTAGTAGCTACTGTCAGAAATGGGGTACTCGAATAGAAGGTCACTGGTCTTATCTAGCACAGCAATTTCTGTATTGTATATACGATATATATGCTACTTTTTCTTACACAATGTACAAGGAAAAAAATTAGTGAGTCAATATGGAGAAGGAAAGAGTTTCCAGATAGTATTTTGTTCTCTTTACATTTTATGGTTTGTGTTTTGATTTTTTTAAATCATCTCTGAATAAAATGTTTGTGTGTGACAAATTTCTGTTAGGTAAGAACCTTTTTACAATAGAAGTGTTTGTCGGCCATCAACTAGAACGCCCAGTGCAATTATAAAATATATGTGTATTTCTTCTATAACTTCCAAACTATGGGACCTTCATGGCTACCTGAATATTGCAGCGTGGAACCATTGAATTATACATGTATTATACCATGGCATTATACATGATCATCTTTTTAGAAGTATACCACAATGATTTTTGACAATTTGAAGGTTTAGTGTTGTAGTTAAAATATGTAGCCATTATTTAAATTTTAGCCTGAGGGCTAAGAAAGTTATGAAGATTGTGAAAATGTTCTCATCACATACAGTTAAAGAGCTTGTGAGAGTGCTAGCCTAGAGGCAACACTTTCAGAGAGCTTTTGCTCAGAAAAAAATCACTATCTTACTGCTTTTCTATTTTTTAAAATTAAAATGCCACCTACTGCTTGAATGAGTATATGCAATTGGAAAAAGACACTGGAGGGATAAATGAATAAGAGAGTCATTCATACCCACAGTGTAAAGGACAAATAGACAGTTTTCCTCAAATCCTCAAATACACTAAGTACACTGATCCACAACAGAAATTCTATGGCATGTTATTCAGGAAGTCAAAGGTAGTCATAATGGATGGTCTCTGGCCTTAAAATTTATGGGAGAAATCCTGGCCTCATTGAAATCAATAGCAAAACTCCCATTGCCTTCAATGAGGCCAGTATTTCATCCTGTGAATCTGGGAAATGAAACCATTTCTGACGTGAAACGTAAAAGCTCTTTAACACAGCATGACAATATTACACAACTGCTTTCTGTAGGAAGTGAAAAATACCTTTACCCAGTTGAAAAAAAGAATTCATTTGGAGTTATTACCAGGAATTTGAGCTGGTTGCTGGAACATACACACAACTCTTTTTGAAAAGTGCTGTAGGATCTTTAATGACTATACATCATGATGATGCCTAGCTCTTATATCATGCTTTACTAAAGATGTCAGTATCATTATCCCCATTTTACAGAGGGGGAAACTGAGGCACAGAAACGGGGGAAGTGACTTGCCTAAAGTTACCCAGCAAACCTGGGTCCTATTCCTGGGTCTGCCACTTAAATCCTGATTCCCAGTCCAGTGTTCTGTGTCCTAGGCCATGGAACCTCATTTGTCTCCCATCCAAGTATGGACTAGGCCCACCTATCCTGAACATGTGAAATCTGACTGCATCTCAGTAGAAGGTGGAATGACTGGACATACTGTTGGCTTTTTGTTTTGTGTGTGTCTTTAAATCCATGGTACCTTCACCTTTATGCATATTAATCTTACTATTTCTGAGGAGTTGTAAAGAACTTTAACAAGCCACATTATTCTCTTGCGGCCAATTAGAATCAAGAATAAGTGTAATCTACAGTATTTCTTTTTTAAAAAGCTGGTATACTGACATATTGTGCATGTCACAATGGCAGTATGCGCATTGTTTCAGAGACTGCAGTACCCAAAGCTATAAGGGACGTCAAGTTACATAATCAGACTTAAATCCAGAGTTCAACGAGTACTAATGAAGCTCTAAAAATAGGGAAGAGGTATTTAGAGGATCCGCCCGTCTGAATTTGTAATGGGGATACATGAGACTCAACAAGAGCATTATTATTACACTCAAATACACAAAAATGACTCTAATACATTGGTTTAGTGTATGATCCTGCCTGTCTCTAAGGACTGGCCCTGGCAATAATAAATCAAATAGGGCTTTTTTTCTTTTGGTGTCGAAGGTCCCAGATCAGGTCTCTGCTGATATCTCTTGTATTTGTCTGATTGTGGCCATAATTCTTTACATTGACACCCACACACACTAGCATGGATTACACCCTGTCCCTGTGTTGCCAAAGTGTTGGACATATTCCTGGTGGTTTCATCACTTGACGTAATTTTTAATTAAAGATTAATCTTTAATTCCTGGAGACTCCAGGGCAATCCTAGAGGGTTGGCAACTCTAATGTAGGGACATGGTTTGATGTGGCCCAATACTTCATCTTGGGAATCTTGAGACGCTCGCTCTTCAGCTCACTCTACAACAACCAGTGGCAGAGCCTGTGTAACTAGGGAGACCAAAAGCCATGTCATCGCTCCAAACAGACTTTTTCAACCTGTACTCCCTTTTCCCTTGTTCCTGCCACTGTTCTGCCACCTCCTCCCTCCCTGCATTATTTCCCAAACTTCCTCAAAATGACTCTGTATAGGTAAACAGTACAATATTTTAGGGGACTGGAAATGTACTTTAAAACAGTACAAATGAAGAAGAAACTTGTGTAAAACAGAAATAAAATCTTTTTAAAACTTTGTGTCCTGTCTTTCCATATACATTTGAAATAAAGAATTCTGTCTCTCCCTTTAAATAGATGTGTGCATTATAAATACCATATATGGCTTGCATAACAAACATTCATTTGGCTTGACAGCAGCTCTTTACTTCTGTCTTCCTCTACCTCCTCTCCCTCTCCCCACCCCCCGCCACTTTGAAGGGGGAAGAGACAGTGTTGGGGAGGGAATTCAGATTGATCCCCAATTTGCCAATAGAAATCCTGGATTAAGTTAATAACATTACTGAGACTAATCAGCTGTGTTTGCTGTGCTCTGCTTTATCCATGATCACATGGAAAGTAATGGTTGTAAAACAGGAAATTAAGTGTTTCTGTGATTTCTGTTTCAGCCATGGGAACAAAGAAGTATTTTCTTGTAGAGGAATAAAATTGGCAGTAGACTGGTTTTTGGAAAGATGCCACAAAGATGTTACAGTGTTTGTGCCAGCATGGAGAAAAGAACAGTCAAGACCTGATGCTCTTATCACAGGTAAACTCTGTTCTGACATCATTGTCTTAAGTTTTCATTTGTATAAAGTAAGAGAGAGCTAATTGTGAGCTTAGCTGAACAAAGCATTTGAAATTAATTTTTTTATGCAGTAAAACATCTTTGGTCTAAGACCTTTTTAGTGAACTCCAGGTGGGGAGGAAAAAGGCAAGGGAATGCATAGCCAGTACACAGTAAGATCCCATTGTTTAGTGTGCTTGCCAGATGAGCTTTCCCTGAAAGTTTCTAGTTAAATCTCTAAGGTTATGGGTTTTTTTATCTATCTGCTGTATATCATTAAAAATGAAAATTTTTGAAAGAATTGTAGTGAGTATGTAGATTATTGTAGCTGTTCAGAAACAAACTCCTTTTAATGATCGGGAAGAATGCCTTTGTTTTTTTTTTTGTTTTTTTTTGTTGTAAGGTAATTTCAGTAATACATACTGATGAGCAACAGTAATACCAATGAGCTGCATTTGAAAGGAGAAAGTCATACCCCCTTGCTCTGTTGTTTTTCATATACTAGATTACTAAATTCAGTCTTAGAAAGTCTTGACTGAAAACCATGTCAGCCAGTGCACTGAAGTCCACCCAATAATGTCTTCTAGAGAAGATAGACTTCTAAGTGGCCACTTTGAGTGGAGTTCAAATTAAAGAAATCTGTTTACAAGGACAAGGGGCTCTTACAGAAGCTACTTCCTTTTGTGACCAGAAAGAAGTCTATCCCATCTCTTTTTGGGTAACAAATGGAACCCCTCTTGGAAGTGTAATTCAGGAAAAGCTGAATGACTGCATTGAGAAACTGGTGTTTTGTTTTGCCTTATTGGTGCTCCAAAACATAGAAAAAGAAAACAATTTGATCTGAATGTGCTTGTTCTTCCCAGGTAAAAATGAAGGACTTGCACTAGGGCAGGATCCTTTCTCTTTATCACATTTTGGATTATGTCAGAAGAGAGGGAGGGAAACTTCTTGATTCAATGTGAAAGCTAGAATTTTTCTTTCAAGTTAAGCTAAATAGAGTTCTCAGGACCATTCGTCCAAGGCAAAAGATAATGAAACAAACTCTTCAATAAAGGCTGCCATTTGTCCTTGCCTTCTGGTTGAAGAAATGGCTTCTAAAAATGCCACCTAAAATGAAAGAAAGTTCAAATGAATAGTCACCGTAGTTTCTAAAGAAAAGTAGCAGAGTATTTTGAGCACCAGACTTCACTGCCAAACTGGAGTGATCTTTGCAGATTTTGAGCTTTTATTTGCTCAACTACTTTTAGAACTTTTAGAACACTTTTAGAACTTTTAGAATTATTAAGGACGAGCTACCACCTGGGAACATTTGTTGTAGCCCATCATACCATTACATGGAAGATCTGTCTCTTTGAAGTACTAAGTGACTTTTATGATTTTATGATAGGCTGCATTGAAGATAATAAGAAAATAAGGTATTAGTAACTCAGAGGAAATATTCCTATCAGCATGTCATAAAGGGCAGGCTCAGTTGTGCTGGTCAGTAGTTACTTGTGTTGAAGATCTGGGAAGGACATCAGTGATACAGCTTTTGACCTTCAGACTTAATTCATCCCAAGCTATGGCTGTAGTAGATGATGGTGGAGTGGGCCCTGCAATAGAGGGTTTTGAGGAAGAGGCCAAGTCCAGAGTCAGTAGGTTCTTTACTTTTACCTTGTCCAGTTGTGTCTGTCAGCACCTTGGCAATGGGAGGAAAAGTAAGAAGTGGAGAAAGCACTGAAGTCTATTGCTAGCATATGCTTGCATCTTCTGTAGAACAGAGGCACTTCACAGTTGTCTTTTGCAGCAAGTCTCTGAATAATTAATTAATTTAAATTAATTAAATCTCCATAGTCATAGATTCCAAAGCCAGAAGGAACCATTGTGAGCATCTAGCCTGACCTCTTGTATAACACAGGCTGTAGAATTTCCTCCAGATAATTCCTAGAACATATATTTTAGAAAAACCTCTAATCTTAAATGAAAAATTGTCAGTGATAGAAAATCCACTACTATCCTTTGTAAATTTTTCTAATGATTAATTATTCTTGCCATTAAAAATGTACACCTTATTTCCAGTGTGAATTTGTCTAGCTTCAACTTCCATCCAGTAGATCATGTTATACCTTACTCTACTAGATTGAAGAGCCCATAAATATTTGTTTGTAGTGTAGGTACTTGTAGACTGTAATCAAGTCACCCCTTAACAACCTACTATTTTGTTAGACTCAAAGAGCTCATTATATTTAGTTTATCACTATAAGCCAGGGGTGGATAAACTATGGGCCATGTCTGACCTGTCAGATGTTTTAATCTGGCCCTCGAACTCCTGCTGGGGAGCAGGAGCGGGGTCTGGGGCTTGCCCCGCTCCGGCACTCCAGCTGGGGAGAAGGGTTGGGAACTTGCTCCATTCTGCGCATGCCGTGGCTCCACACCGTTCCCAGAAACAGCAGCATGTCCCCACTCCAACTTTTAAGCATAGGGGCAGCCAGGGGGATCTGCATGCCCTAAGTGCTTCCCTGCAGCTCCCATTGGCCGGGAACCGCAGCCAATGGGAGCTTCAGGGGTGACACCTGCGGATGGGGCAGCACGCAGAGCCGCCTGGACACGCCTCTGCTTCGGAGCTGGAGGTAGAACATGCCGCTGCTTCAGGTAAACGCTGCCCGGAGCCTTAATCTCAGTGAGTATCAAGTGAGGATGAAGAGATCTATCTTTACTTAAGAATGCAGTCATTGGACCACATTGATTACAGTCAGGATACAATAGGACATGGTCATGCAGCACCAGGCAGAGTGGGGAGCTCCGTTGCATCCTGGGAGCTCTCCTCATGATATCAGAGCAGTTTGGGATATTTACTCTTCTAACAACCAAACTTGGGAAATAGTGTATCTGTTAACTGCTGCAGAGCTAGCAAAGGGAGTGCAAAACATAGTCTTCTCTGTTGATCTGATAAAAATGGTGTGGAATGATTTTAGTTTTTCAAACGTATTGTTGGTTGATTGCTGAACGTTAGTTTAAAATCATATACATCAGATGCTTTCTACTGGATTATAACTATTTTAAGGTTAGGCATATTTTGGCCCTAAACACTTTGACCTTCTGCCTCAACCCTAAGATCTGCAAAGATCGAACAAATTCTTGATTTCACTTCAGACATTAAATCTTTGGCTCTTTCTTAATACTTCTAGATCAAGAAATCCTGCGCAAGTTAGAAAAAGAAAAAATTCTGGTGTTTACGCCATCCCGTCGTGTGCAGGGGAGAAGGGTGGTATGCTATGATGACAGATTCATAGTGAAGCTGGCCTTTGAGTCAGATGGTATCATTGTGTCTAATGATAACTACAGGGATCTAGCTAATGAAAAGCCAGAATGGAAGAAGTTCATAGATGAGCGATTGTTGATGTATTCATTTGTCAATGACAAGTAAGTAATCTTGATTTTATACCACTTGTTAGAAAACTAATGGCAAAAAGGGCACTTCGAGGGCTTCCATTAACATGTTAGATTCTATCAAAATTATTAGCTACACATGAGAAAATAAAAGGATGTTATAGTTCCAGGCTCTGCTCCTAATCTTCTGAACCTTCAAACCCTTCTTTTTGCCAATGTGCTCCATAATGGTGGTAATCACTATCAAAATGTATTATTTAAACTCTCCCACCTGTCCTGGAAAGAACCCAAAGATTGAAAAAGGATTAGACTACTTACTGGACCCATGTAATTCCCAGGATGCTCAGATACTTTGTATATTGAGTGTATACCATAGTATAAAATACCTAGGTGGTAGTTTTTGCTTTGGCTGTTCTGTGAACAACAAAGAATCTTTAGTCATTTCTAAGACCGGCAAGCCTGACTTCATTACTGGGCAAACTAGTTGAAACCATAGTTAAGAACAGAATTGTCAGACACATAGATGAACATAATTTGTTGACAGGTTTCAGAGGAACAGCCGTGTTAGTCTGTATTCGCAAAAAGAAAAGGAGTACTTGTGGCACCTTAGAGACTAACCAATTTATTTGAGCATGAGCTTTCGTGAGCTACAGCTCACGTAGCTCACGAAAGCTCATGCTCAAATAAATTGGTTAGTCTCTAAGGTGCCACAAGTACTCCTTTTATAATTTGTTGAGAAAGAGTCAACATGGGTTTTGTAAAAAGAAACCGTGCCTCCCCAATTTACTAGAATTCTTTGAGGGGGTCAATAAGCATGTGAATATGGTGTACTTAAATTTTCAGAAAGCCTTTGACAAGATCCCTCACCAAAGGCTCTTAAGCAAAGTAAGCTGTCATGGGATAAAATCTCATGGATTGGTAACTGGCTAAAAGATAGGAAACAAAGGGTAGGAATAGATGGTCAGGTTTCAGAATGGGGAGAGGTAAACAGTGTTGTCCCCCAGGTGCCTATACTGGGACCAGTCCTATTCGACATATTCATAAATGATCTGGAAAAGGGGGTAAACAGTGAGGTGGCAAAATTTGCAGATTATACAAATTCTTAAGGTTCAAAAAAGAACTAGATAAGTTAATGGAGGATAGGTCCATCAATTGTTAGCTAGGAAGGGCAGGGATGGTGTCCCTAGCCTCTGTTTGCCAGAAGCTGGGAATGGGCAATAGGGGATGTATCACTTGATGATTACCTGTTCTGTTCATTCCCTCTGGGGCACCTGGCATCAGCCGCTATCCGAAGACAGGATACTGGGCTAGATAGACTTTTGATATGACCCAGTATGACCGTTCTTATGCACTCAAGATAGTTATGCCCAAAGCAGACTGCAAAGAGTTACAAAAGGATCTCACAAAACTGGGTGACTGGGCAACAAAATGGCAGATGAAATTCAATGTTGATAAATGCAAAGTAATGTACATTGGAAAACAATCCCAACTATACATATAAAATGGTGTGGTCTAAATTAGCTGTTACCACTGAAGAAAGAGATCTTGCAGACATTGTGGATAGTTCTCTGAAAACATCTACTTAATGTGCAGTGGCAGTCAAAAAAGCTAACAATGTTGGGGATCATTAAAAAAGGGATACATAATAAGACAAAAAATATCCTATTGCTTCTATATAAATCTATGGTACGCCCACATCTTGAATACTGTGTGCAGATGTGGTCGTTCCATCTCAAAAAAGATATACTGGAATTGGAAAAGGTTCAGAAAAGGACAACAAAAATTATTAGAGGTATGGAACAGCTTTCATATGAGGAGAGATTAAGAAGATTGGGACTTTTCATCTTGGAAAAGAGATGACTAAGGGGGATTATGATTGAAGTCTATAAAATCATGACTGGTGTGGAGAAAGTAAATAAGGAACTGTTTTTTACTCCCTCTTAACATAAGAACTAGGGGCCACCAAACAAAATTAATACTTAGCAGGTTTAAAACAAACAAAAGGAAGTATTTCTTTACACAATGCACAGTCAACCTGTGGAACTCCTTGCCAGAGGATGTTGTGAAGGCCAAGACTATAACAGGGTTCAAAAAAGAACTAGATGAATTCATGGAGGATAGATCCATGAGTGGCTATTACCCAGGATGGGCAGGGATGGTATCCCTGGTCTCTGTTTGGCAGAAGCTGGGAATGGGCAACAGGGGATGGATCACTTGATTACCTGTTCTGTTCATTCCCTCTGGGGCATCTGGCATTGGCCACTATCCGAATGCAGGATACTGGGCTAGATGGACCTTTGGTCTGACCCAGTATGGCCTTTCTTATGTTTAAAACAAAAATTTTAACCCTTTAATTTTTAAATTAGGGCATTTCAACACATGAAGGTTAATCCTGAACAAGGTAGGGTGTGAATTTAAAATAGTTAACTGATTAACTCCATGAGTGGAGACTCTTTTTCCAGAATAAAGGTGCCACTTTGAGTTAATCAGGACAATCTGTTCTGGAATAACTCCCCTTAGCCACCTAAATAGAAGTGGCATAAATTTAAAATATGCATATCACCTACAGCTCCTGTTGACCCCAGTGGAAGTGTAGGGGTTGCTCAGCACCTCGAACAGTCAGGCCAGTTCTGTTATGTGCTTAAATATTGATGTAGGCACTCAGTTTTAAAAATTTTGGCCTGTAGTTCTGTCTATAGGGCAGTGCTGTGATATGCTGCATAGTCCTGCAGATTTTAAAACAACTTGCAGGACAGCCAGGAAGTATATTGTGGGATTTTTTTTTCCCTGACAAGCAGATGTTGTAATGCAGAAGCAGTCTTTCGAAACTACACTTTGGAGCTAAATCATTTGTTGAATAGTCCTGATTTGACAACTTCCTCTTGGTTGCAAAATGTGGGTTTTCTTTGTTAAACTTTTTCCTGGAAAATGTTTACTACTTTAGAATAAAGCTGACATAATGTATGACAGATAAATTGTAACAGGTAGTCCACAGCTATAATTAGTTGCAACAGGAACATGAAAATGAAATGTGGTGGTCAGTTCTTTTATGCTTTTGTTGTATGTTATAGGTTCATGCCTCCTGATGATCCTCTTGGCCGTCATGGCCCAAGCCTTGACAATTTTCTAAGGAAGAAACCTATTGTACCGGAACATAAGAAGCAACCATGTCCATATGGTAACTTGATTTAAATGCATGATTTATTGTATCATGTGGCAAATTGCCAGCACTACTATGATGGGTCTCACGCTTTCTCTTCTGGAAGGTGGGGGGGTTTAGGTCACCGTTTCTTGCCCCTGAACTGGGGTATTAACTGCCCCACTAGTGTCCTAGAGTAGGGGAGTGGAGAGGGAGGGACCTGGGCCTGCCCTCTACTCCGGGTCCCAGCCCAGGGGCCCTAGGGATAGTGGTAAACCACTAGAACTAGCGGTTCCTTCCCCTGGGCTACTTCCCTCTCCTGCCCTTCAGCTTGTGGGGCTTCCTGCCCTCCCTCTGCACAAACCAGTTGTCCCTTTACCTAGGGTCTTGGTGGTCTTAGCCCATCGCAGCACTTCTCCAAACTCTCCTCTGCTTCCCTCCAAACTGCTTTGCTCCAACACCAATCCACTCTGCTTGAACTCCTCCTCTTGTCTGATTGAAGCAGGGAGGTTTTTCTCATGTGACTGGCTTCAGGTGCTTTAATTAATTTATAGCAAACTTTCTTCCCTCTACAGGGAATAAGGCTCCCTTCTAACACTCTCCTGCGGCCCTCTGGCCATGCTGTATCACATAGGTTAGGTATAAAGGGCAAACTGCTTTTTTTCTTTATAGCTGTGCCAATAAAAGTAAGACTTTTTTACAGAGCTGTCTTATATTGACAATGACTGAAATCCTAACTCTGTTGAAGTCAATGAGAGTTTTAGCATGGATTTCAGTGGAGCCAAGATTTCTGCTGACATCTTATTCTTTTATCAGTTGGAAAAGATCCGATGAAGTGAGCTGTAGTTCACGAAAGCTTATGTTATAATACATTTGTTAGTCTCTAAGGTGCCACAAGTATTCCTTTTCTTTTTGCGGATACAAACTAACATGGGTGCTACTCTGAAACTTGGAAAAGAACGTGTTAGTGTTTGTATCTACCACTTAAACTAAAGAAATAACCTCATTCGCCATCAATAAGTACCAGGCTGTTAGTTACTGAGGCCAGCCACTACAAGGAGATATGTTCACATTGACTAAGCCAGTATATTACGTACTCTTCCTGCAAGACAAGGTAGACATGGTCATCTAAGGTGCAGAAGAGATTTTAATCTGATTTGGGGAACCATAATGTCAATGTGTATGGCCACAGTGCATTATAAAGTGATACCCCAGATGGAACTTGAACTTCCTTGGCCTTCAGACACTCAGGACAAGTTAGTATAATGTGGAAATATGTAATACATTAGCTTTTTGGCTGTGATTATGACCCCACTGTTGTGGATCCACAGGATTGGTGCTATGCCCCCAACTTTACAATAGTCTTTGGAGGAACCCCTTTGATGGGCCCGACCCCCCAGGGGTCTCACTCTTCTTTCAAGGTAGGCCATACAGCCTCACCGCCTCCTTAGGCTGAAACTCTGGACTTCAGCACTCCTCCTTCACACCATGTGCTTTGCTCAGTGTGCCCAACTGAGACAGACTGCTGTCAGAAACTTGTATGCTCTTCGGGGATTAAAACACCTCAACAAGCATTTACAGGACACTCAAGCAGTGTTTTCAAAACAGTAAGATTTACTAGTCAACTGGAACACAGCACAGAAAATCCTTAGGGCAGCCCAGAGCCCCAGCCAAGCTGTAGTGAACTCCGTTTTCAGGCTGTGTGTGTCTGTCCAACCTCCTCAATTAGTTCCCAAGTGAGAGCTCCCAAACTTCTTCCAGAGCTCGTGCTTATCTTCCACCTCACTTCTTCCTGTCCTTTGTTCTTGAACTGGGGTCTCTACTCACCTTTGCTGCTGAGAGTGTTACATCATCTCTCTAGACCCCTTGTTGATCTAGGTTGGTTTCAGCAAGTTCTTTAATGACTCTCTTCATTCCACCCAGACAGGGAGGTGACACACAAGAGATACCAATGTCTCTTAGCCTTCCCTGAGAGCAAACTTAGTGTCGTTGTGTGTGTCGTCCCCCATTCTCCTCCCCCTCCCCACCCACTGGGTAGCCATGCAACATTATAGGGGAAACTGAGGCACAACTGGGGCTGGGGAATTAAAAAAAAATCCCACTTCAAGAACATCTTCCTACGTGCTAAAAAATGACTCCTTCAGCTCAAATATTAGCAGCTTATGCTTCTGGTGCCAGGGGTTACTGGTTTGATCACACTGACAACCATGAGGTCTATATGCATGAAGACTGATTATTACACATGCATAATGTTTAGTTCAGCTCATTGGTGATACTTCATGGAAGACTTTTCCTTTAAATTAAATGAAATGAATTTAAAATGTAAAGGTTGTGCATATTACTTAGAAATAGGCAGAAAATTACATTTTGGAGGGATAAGAAAGGTGGAGTTCAAAACCATAGATCTCAGATGAAAGCAAGATTGGACTCCACATAATCCTCAGTTTAGGAGAGCAGAGGATTAGAAAGTGGGTGCGTAGGAGGGATGTTTCAGGACAGAACTGAGATACATTGGCAGTCTGCACTGTCTCAAGCTAGTGCTATATAGGTCCTTTACCTTCTTGAACATTACCGCAATCTTTTCAACAGAGCAAGAAAGTCGGTTTCAAAGCCTCACTTCGGAAACACACACACACACACTCACACACAGACAATTTAAAAATCATTTCAGTTAACTCACAAATTTAAAAAAAATGAGAGCTTCCAATTCAAATGGCTAAATAATTTTTTCTTTTTTACCTCAAATTGTATGACTTCTAATAGGAAAGAAATGTACCTATGGACACAAATGCAAATACTACCACCCAGAAAGAGGAAATCAACCTCAGCGGTCTGTAGCTGATGAACTTCGAGCCATGTCTAGAAGCACAGCTGCCAAAGCTGCAAGTGAAGGAGGAGGACTGGTAAAAAGCAACAGTGTTCCTTGTAGCACTAAGATTGATGGCACTTCTGATCTCAAACGTGCTGCTCCAAAGAGGCAATCAGATCCTAGTATAAGGACTCAAGTCTACCAAGACTTGGAGGAAAAGCTTCCCACCAAAAATAAATTGGAAACCAGGTCTGTTCCTTCTTTAGTTAGTATACCGAATTCTTCAGTTGTAAAACCCCAAAGTACTGCACCTTTAAGCAACGGCCTTCCATCCGGGGTTCATTTCCCATCTCAGGATCAAAGACCACAGGGACAATATCCTCCAATGATGATGGCAACCAAAAATCATGGGACGCCAATGCCTTATGACCAGTACCCAAAATGTGAGTCTCCTGTGGACGTAGGCTACTACTCTATGCTGAACGCTTATTCAAATCTAAGTATCTCTGGTCCACGCAGTCCTGAAAGGCGTTTCTCCTTAGACACAGATTATAGGATTAGCTCTGTAGCTTCTGATTGTAGCAGTGAAGGTAGTATGAGCTGTGGTAGTAGCGATTCCTATGTGGGTTACAATGATCGGTCTTACATGAGTTCACCTGACCCACAATTAGAAGAGAACTTAAAGTGCCAACACGTGCACCCACATAGCCGCCTTAATTCACAGCCCTTCCTGCAGAGTTACCATGATCCTTTAACAAGAGTGCAAAGTTACAGTCATGAAGAACCAAAGCATCATCACAAACCTCCTACTCCATACATGTCTGTACATCTACAGCATCCTACAATTGGTGCTCGTTCTAGTTGCCCTAATGATTACTCTGCTCTTCAAAGTTTGCAACATTCAAAGACCATGCATCTGGGGAGGGCACTTGTATCCACAAGAATAGATAGCGTTTCAGACTCACGTTTATATGATAATTCTCCATTAAGACAAAGAAAGCCTTATTCCAGCCAAGATGGGCTTGGAAGTTGGGATAGGCAGAGTTATGGGATTGATGCATACGGCTATCGTCAGACTTACTCCTTGCCTAGTAACCCCACTCAGCCATGTTACGAGCAGTTTGCCTTCCAAAGTTTACCTGAGCAGCAAGACCAGACTTGGTGCATACCTTACTGTGGAATCCCTCAAGACCCTCCAAGGTATCAGGACACACGGGAGAAGGTTTATATAAACTTATGCAACATCTTCCCTCCTGATCTTGTGAGAATTGTTATGAAAAGGAATCCTCACATGACAGATGCTCAGCAACTTGCTGCAGCCATTTTAGTGGAAAAATCCCAGCTAGGTTATTGAAAGATGATGATGCATCTTTGTGGTGTCTAGTAGTTTTCAGTTCAGCTCTAATGCTGAGGGAGGTTTGCTACAATAGCATATGTGATCTCCTTCTCAGCAAGGAGGTTATATAGTAATCCATTTATGTGAAAATACAGTATCATGGAATCTGTATGTTTAGCCCCATGCATTGGAAGTAACAGGTTTGTTTTACATTCTAACTTGAAATTTTTAAATGGTTTTAAGCTATGTTCATGACTGAAATCTTTCCAGTCTAAGTTTAATATATGTGTGTGTATGTTCTCTGTGGTCTCCGGTAATAATCTTTGGTGCATCAGGGGTTTATATGCAGCACTTTCTATCTTTTTGTTACATGTTTTGTTAACTTACTGGATGTATGTCCTTCAGCTGCGAGGCATTAAAAGAATCTGCAGAAAGTTGAAAGAATTTTAATAGACCTGGCAAACCGTTTTCAAGCCAAGCTTAATTTGAACTTTTAACAGCAATTAATTTATTATTTATTTATTTTGTGGGCTTCTTTGTGCTATAATCATTTATTTATAGAAAACAAAGATTTACTATGGCACTGACTTTATTTTTTAAATAAAATATTAAGTTACCAGTTAAAGTTGAAATGGGTAACGATATATTAGTAATTTACAGTATGGCACTTTTCATTGCTCTTTTAAGAATAGTTTTTAATGATTTGATTCAGTTGGTTTAGTAAGAGCAGATGCAATCAAAAGTAAAGGAACTCATTTCCATTACTTTTTGGATAAGGCAAAGCCTGGTGGTCTGATTTGCAAAGATGCTGAGCATATGCAACTCCCTTTGAACCCAGTAAAAGCTGCAGCTGCTCAGAACTGCCTAAAATCAGGCCATGAATGTTTCAGTTCAGATACGTTCTTATCCAGCTCTTGTGTGCTTCTGGTCAGTAGAAATGGAACTGAAAGTTTAGGATTCCATGAAATTGTTTTATATGCATCTCTCTTTTTTTATTATTTGTATTTGTGCACAGGTATACTGGATAAAATATGCTTTTTCATAAAATATTTACCTGTTTTTTAAATGAATCTAAGTATTCTCAATGCAAGTTTTGTATTTAAGATACTGTTCAATTTTCTTGCTATTTATCAAGGCTGGCCTGAGAAGGTTGTGTGTGTTGAGGATATGCAACATTTATTAACTGCACTATGGTAATGGTATTATAGCTGAAAATGATAATTTAAACCTTTTTGTAAGATACTGTATATGTTCCAGAAGTTAGTTTTTTGGCCTGTTGTATTATGGAGGCCTAATTCTTGCCACAAATAGTATAGCTGTAGAAACAGATTAAAATAGTCTGTTCTAGTATTAGTAAGGGATATTTCTGGTTTTAAGTCATGGGTTTTACTATTGCTTCAAACTTTTTTTATACAAGGTTTGCAATCATTGACAGAGGGCTGTATTTACATGATGTAGTCAGTTGCGTATAGTTTTAGGATTCCATAGAGAGTAACATTGTTCAATGTTAGTTCACTGATTTACAATATAATTGAGGATCATTTTGATACACTTGCTGCAATTTAAAGTAAGGCCCCCGAAGAACCAGAAAGTACCTATACTGTTGATACAAATTGTATCTTTTTAACTGAGAACTATTTTGATTTGTAGATCTAGTTAAAACACAAATGTGTAACTATAATTAGAATTTTGGGCAACATTTTATCCCTTATTTAAAACAATAGATTTCAATCTAGAATAGGAGTTAGACAAATAAAAATACAGTAATTTATTTAGAGAAGTGTCTCAATTTTATATTTTTATAATTTTGTTTTTAAAAAAGCTATTGGCATTTTCTTTCTTCTAAAACATACCTAGTGTGAACTTACTGAAATAAAGGTAAAATGCTGCCTGAAAATAATGTCCAAGCACCTTTTGAATAGGAAAACATTTTCACTACTTGTGTGACACTGTGTGTTGCAAGAAGTAGGATTAGGGTATACAGTAAATGCTTCTAAAAAGCATTGAGCTTATAGACGTATTCAATAATCTGAACCATGTTCAGCAAACTTAATTCAGGAAGTGTTCTTCTCTACAGCTTTTACTGTTGATTTTTTGAGGTGGGATCTGCATTCATGTGTCCCTTGTAACTCAATGCAGGTGGTGCTGTACATAAGCTATCCTGAGTTGTTTAGGGGGAGAACCTGTTCACCTGTGACAGTATTTTTCCCCTTGGTTTTGTTGGTCACTATCTGTAGAACATGTTTTAATGTAGAGGCTAGTAAAGAGCTGACACTGAGGTTATAAACAGTGAGTCTTGTCTTAGTTGTACACTAAGATTTTTTTAAATCAAATTACACTTTTAAGTAGTACACCATAGTGTAGGTGCATCCGTTTTAATAATGATTATACTAGTGTTTTGTCTTCAATGCATTTCTACGTTTATATTTGTATGTATGAATTAACTTCTACCAAAAGCTGAATTCCTTTAAGCATTTGAAGAGATGTGTCTGTAATAGATACATTTCATTTTTTTATTTTTTCAGTCAGAATGTCTCCTAATATATGTAGCAATTTGACGTATAATATTAAATCATTGGTCTTGGCCACATTATTAAAATGGTGAGAGGAGTAACATGGCACTGTATGCTGCAGTGCACAGATAAGAGCTATCAGCACTGGATGTTTCCTTGTATATTTAATACAGTATTGAATCATTTTAAAGCAAGTTGATTGCTAGAAGCATTCTTACACCAGGTCAAATTGTGCTTTGTCCTAAAGCACTAAAATTGCTTTACAAAATGTAAGAACAGGAGTTATTTGGCAGCTTTTAATATTGTGCAGTGATATGCTAGTTAAATTCAAGCTTTGTTATACTGTGCGAAGGAAATTTACTGCTGACAAAATATTGCCCGTTGGTATTTCTCTCCTTGTGAGTAATAAAAGCAAATGAGCAATACCTTCCATGAGCTCATCATCCTGGAAGAGTTCACTCTAGATATTTAGAGAGATGACACACCAGTATGTATAGGACAGTGATAATACTGGTGAAACTTTACCTTTGATTTATGTTAAATGCATTGATGCAAATAGTGTAACTGTAAAATAAGGTGTGATTTATATATATTTAAGAAGTCAAACTGGGCTATTGACTACTTGCCTTTGCTCTGTTTGAGTAAGATGGCTTTCATTTATGAATAAAGTATTCCAAGCAAAACCTTACACCACCATTAAAGAGAGGGGAATGTTTTACTTTGTCTGCAGTATTTTTAGGAGAATTATTTTGATACATTTACCATAAATTATGTATTTTAAAAATACAACACTCTGCTTTTATAGATGTACCATATTTTATATGGTACACATATTTCCATAATACATCCACTCACAACTTTTATTTATCTAGCTAGATTGTCAATATTAGCTTTTTACACACATCTCAAAGATACCTTTTTTAATGAGTTAAATGTGCCTGGGCAATTCTTTTCCCCCTAGTGTTTTAACTTAAGTGAAATAACACCAAGACTGAGTTTGGCCCATATTTTATATCAAAGCCAGTCTTAACCACTGTTCCCACTGTGTAGGGTTTTAAAAAAATTCTTCCTTTTATCTTTAAATCTGTTACCACCAACTACTATTCTTCTGAGGTAAGATCTTGTCTTTGCAGGTAACTTCTTTTGTCCAGTATGTCTAAATTAAAAAAAAACAAACTAAACCCTAGCAATTCTGATGGCAGAGCTGAAAGTTTCACATTCAGCCAGATAAAATATTATTCCGGTTTAGGGTGACTGCAGGCAGCGATCACACTTGAAGGTCAGGAAGGTGAATTGTTGCTGTGTTTTTGGCCCTTCTTGGAAGGTGTAAGTGGATATACAAAGAGAAGAGGGGAATTTGGCCTTAGGGGTAGGAGGAGAATATCATCTAAAAATAAAGATGTGGATGAAAACCAGCATATCTTATTTCATCAAACCTAAAACCCTGCAGCCTTTACCTTAGGCAAGTGACAGACTTACGGAGAAGCATTCTTGGCTGGGATGGTGGATGTGAAGGTTTTCAAATCTAGGCACCACTATCGCCACAGTAAACAATTACTAGAACATTTGTCAGGTGAAGACTTGAGCAAGATGTTTTTGGTGTATTAGGACTGACATACTGACCCACAGCTGCAATAATATCAGAATGTTTAAAAAAATACCCAATTGACTTAACATCGCTATCAGACAGGTATAATACTGTGCAGTTAAGAGACCATTTTTAAGAATAAAACATAGTTTAGATGTTGGTTTTTTTATTTACAATGTAAGTAAGTTATTATTGTTAATTTATTACTTGCATTATTAAGATGAGGTGGAATACCGTATTACTAGAAGAAAAATATCAAAACAAAGCAAATTATTGATTAAAGCAAGGATGTCCTTAATGGCCATGTTTTGTTTTAAAGAGTTAGGGTTTTTTAAATGTTGGATCTCACATTTTATGTATTTTGTAAATTAGAAAAAATGGAAGCCATAGTATAGTTTAAGAATTTTATTTGAATTATATAAAATACATGTAGACATTGTTTAGCTTGAATATGTAAATAATTCTATAGTAATCCATTTTAAATAACTGTTCTAACTAAAACTTTTCTAGACAACTACGCTTATATCTAGACGTTACGTTCATGTCTGTGGGAAAAGTTTCACTTATGCTCATCCTAAGACTTAATCAGCAACTGATGTTCTGATGATATAATCGTGTATATCTCTGGGCAGTCTGTGCACATGTGAAACTTATGTATGTACTTTTTTGCAGTGCATTACAAACCTTTATTTTTTGTATATAAAATACACAGTAGCAGGGTATAAAGGTTGCTACCAAGTTATAGTGAATTCAGTTAGTAACTGTAGAATGCTCTGCATAGTTTTGCTGTCTCTGAATTTCAATTCTTAGTGTTCACAGGTTTTTTTAATTGTATTCTACTGTATCTATGTGTTAATGATCTAAGTTAAAATTGTTATGCCCTCTTTAAAGTGTGAAAAGCTTGGCCTTTGTTCCCAAGAGATTTTTTTTCATTCCTCATTTAGCCTTTGTAATAATTTGAGACCCCAATCCTGCAAAAATGTATGCATATGTCTAACCTTAAGCACATGGGTAATCTCATTCACTTCAATGGGACTACTCCCAGGTTTACAGCTAGGCATGGGCATAAGTGTTTGTAAGATTGGGACCTGAGTATATTTTAGACTGGAACCTGGTGAACATTTTAACGTGTAGGATCAAATTCTCTGCCTTTATAAATGGGTGAAACGGTACTAACACCAGCAGAGAATTTGTCCAGCACTGCGCATGTTCTAATGATTAAAATGCAGACCGATATTTCCAGCTAACAATTTGTCCAGATTCTTCTTCACACCACATAATCTATTTTCAACCACACAATCTATTTTTTCATTTTGTAAGGCAACTTTTTTCTCAGACGAAGTATAATTTCACATTTTTTAAAAAATTGAGTGGGATTTTTAATGAGACTGATATTTTTAAAAAAAAAAAATTTCACCAACAAAATACAAAAATGCAGACCTAGCGGCATGAGTCATGGTCTGTTTTGTGTGCACACACACACACCCCCTTGTATTGATGTCCCCTCTGGCAGAAAAAGAGTGCCAGAGAACAGTTTGGACCAGCTGATACACTTTACTCTCTCCCTTCGCTGGCTGTTGTGTACTACTTCTGTGATGTGACTGTTCACATCTGTTAGCAGTATTTTAGACCTTAAGAAAAACCATTGCAAAGCATGTACATGAATTCTTATATTAGAGAAAAAATAAAGATACCTTTTTTCTCACGATTGGATTGGTTTTGTTTCATAGAAGACAACCTTGCTAGAGCAACACAAAGCTAGGAATGAAATTTGTAAGGGTCTTTCATAACCACACAATAAAAACTTCTTCCTTGAGCTTGGTACAGCTAATAAAATTCAGTACAGCTAAACAAAGCATTTTAGATGCATAATAGGTTCGTGGACTGTCAAATCATTCTTAGAGGTCATTTCTGTTTCATTGATTTAACTCTTATCCCCATGGCATATAGTTTTAATTTCCCTAATACAGAAAATCCATGCAGTTAAATAGGATTGTCAGTAATTTAGCAGCAGAATTTGTATTAGAGACTCTGTATTAACAGACCTTGACTTCTTTCAAATACTGCCATTAATCTGTTTTTTTTTTATTGCATAATCCTGGTAGTTTGTACCAAAAAGGATTGTGTGGTAACAAATAACTCTAAGTCAAGGACAGCACAAACTACCAGTCTTTGGAAAGAGCTCTCAAAAACCTGGATCCCTGGAGCTGGCTCAACAGCTACTGACCAGACAAGGGTGGGTGACAAGAATGACAATGTAAATAGCACTCCACTGTGGAAACTATCCTATACTGCTATCAGTGGGTTTTGAGTGCTGATAAATTCCAGGCCTAAGGCTAAAGTTTTGCACAGCTGTGAGCCCCTGCTGTGATATTACATACATCCTTGTCATTTCATTGGCTGTTCAGTGACATTGCATCATTACAGGGCTTCTAAAGAGGCAGTGGATTGAAAATCCAAGTTTCCCACTAACAAGGAAGTCTGACAAGACTGCAGCAATGCGTCTCTGAGAATGCTGCTCACAAAGCTCATTTCTCACATGCTTTGTCCAATGTCTATCCCTTTCCTAGCAGGGGAAGAGCAAGTGGTATGAAACTTGCTTCCATAAAATGCTACTAACTTGAGCACAAAGCACTTATCAAACTCATGCTCAAATGTGATGCTTTTGGCACAGTACTATAAAATAGTCTGCTTTCATTATCTTTTACTGATAGGCTGTTTCACTGCCCAATTGCTCCAGAAAATTTTTCTCTCTAATCTAAGCTCTTCTTTGCTTCAACCCATTGCTACTTAACTTGCCATCTTCTGACAATGACTGATCATTACTTTCATTATAGTGTTGTCATGCATAATTATGTCTCCTTGCATTTTTTCTAGATTACCTTCCTCTCATCATGTGTACTAACCTCCAGTCCTTCTATCATTTTTGTGTGTTAACCCGTTCTGTTTGTGCCAGGCCCATGCTATGGAGTAGGGCTAGTAAATATTACATCCTCAGAACTGGTCTAAAAGAAAAAGTTGCAAATTTAAAGAAATGTCAGACCTTAACTTTACCTGTTATCCAGCTGCACTATGATAGTCTTTTACATGATCATCTGTAAATATTTTTTGTGGCCACAGATACATGTGTAACATAAATGCAGTACTGTGTATAACTCTGTATGCCACAATCAATAAGTCATTTATATATATTTTTTTAAAAAAAGTTAGTGGATGGGAAAAGGGCCTTCCAGGATTGTAAAAAGTGTAGTGAAGTCCCGTCAGCTTCAGTGGGAGCAGGATTTGGCCCTTTCTGTAGATACAAAGTGCAATTTCCAAGAGCATATAAATGACTTTGACTTTCACTTACAGTTGTGGTCCCAGACGTGTAAGATTTGTCTTCATGAGAGATTTAACTGTGTTGACTCTGAACTTTCTCCTTAAGATGCTCCGTGTTCACACATCAGTACCCCTCAGGTGTGCCAGAGTCACACTGAAAGCGAGGCAGCCACAATATCGTGAGGTGTAGGGCAGACCCCAAGTTTGCTTGTCTTGCATGTTGCTAAAGTTTGGGAAATCCCACTCTATAACTACCAAATCAAAGCCATCTTTCCTTAAAACGGGCACCTCCTACTGAGAGCCAATTCTCTCTGTGAGCAGGTTTTCTAAAACTTTTGTCTTTTTTTTTTTGTTGCTATCCTCTGAACTCTTTCCAGTTTGTCCACCAGTGCTGATTAGAATAGGACCGTTACCTCCTGTGTCTTACATATGACACTTACATTCACTTAATACAGCCCAGAGTGATATTTACCTTTTTCGCGATCTCATCCCATTGCTGACTTGTATTCAGTGTGTGATCTGTTCTCATCCCCAGGCCTTCCTCTGCAGTGTATTACTGCCTAGCCAGTTATTTCCCCATTTCGTATTTGTACATTTCATTTTTCCTTCCTACGTGTAATACTTTGCACTTGTTTTTACTGAATTTCCTCTTCATCTTGGCTTCTACCCAATTCTCCAATTTGTCAAGGACGTATTGAATTCTAATCCTGTCTTCCTAGACCTGGCTCGGTGTTATCCACAGACTATATAAGCATGTTCTCTACTCCATTATTCAAGTAATTAAGTAAAATACTGAATAGTACCAGAGTCAGGACAGACCGCAGGCGGACCCCGCACCAGATACATACTGCTGGTTTGACAGTGAAACATTGGTAACTGCTCTTTGAGTATGTTTTTTCAAACAGTTTTGCATACACCTTATAACTTCATGTAGAACATATTTCCCTACTTTGCTTATGAGACTGTAATGTGTGATTGTATCAAAAGCATCATTAAATTACTGCAATGTTGTCTAGTTCCTGGAGTAACTATAGTATCCTCCTGATTCTTTCACCTACTCTTAATTAAAATGGGCACCATGTTTTCCATTTTCCAATCACCGGATAACTAAAAAATAATTTGTGGATAGTACTTTCAAAGGCAAGAAATGATATTCCTCAGAACATATGCAATTAAAAGAGCAAGTGTGTTACATTTAATGTATGAATTACTGCCATCATATAACTACAACACTGAGAAAAATTATTTAAAAATAACTTTTTATAGCATCTACTGTATTTAGCCATATATAGATGGGTTTAAGTCTAAATAAGTTCTAAGGGTTGAAGGACCTTTCACTAAGTCTTGCTCAAACAAAGGAGAGAAAAATGCAACCCAGATGCAAAAATGTACATCATAATATATAGGTAGAAAGTACTTTAGCTCTGTGCAAGTGGAGGACAAAAAGCCAAAATCTCCTCTTAATTACGTGGGTGCAAGCAGTAGGTTGCACTGATGTGGTTAAGAGCTAAATTTAACCACTCATCTACACATATAGGATATTAAACGAATACTATACTTGGGTTGAGCCCAGAGGCCAAGATCCCATTAGCAGGTAAGTTCTCTCCTTTACACCACCCTTTAACCAGCACACTGAAAAGTTTCCTAAATAGGGACCCCATCATCTGGTAACCCTGGCTGTGGCAGAACTGACTTTCCAGAGCTCTCTTTGCGTTTTCCTTCCTGCTGAACTACCCGTCTCCTTTTACGGATTTATTTTCTATGCACGAGATCTCTCCATTCTCCTACATGCTACACTACCCTTGCCTCTTCCACTCGACCCAGCATTGCATGTGATCCATATTCTGCTGATCAATACCTGGACTGATGTCCCTGTGGCTTAGGATACCCTTGGCCAATCCTGGAACGCTCTATGAATTGGACTATAATTAATTCCACTATCGACTGTAGTTGTGCTATTAAAGTTGGGATTTAGGGCATTCCAGCCCATAAGTAATTAGGCAATACTTAGAGTTAGTATTTAAGACTGAAATAGCTACAGGAACGTACTGTTGTTTATCACATACATTTGTACTTTAGCACATTCTATAGATCTTTATAGCCTAGCATATCAGTCTGTTATGGCACTTTCATTAGCACGGACACAGATATTTCAAAAACGTTGAAAAAATTACCGCAGATGCCCTGTATCTAACACATCACAAACATCAACTAGTGACTTGTAACATTTCATAAACCCATTTATAGCTGTTTCGTGCAGGTGATCTGTCAGTAACTAGAACAGGGCAGCATTTATTTGCTGACTTCAAAGGGGACAGGTCTGTTACATTGGACCATTTCAGAAACACTATAAATAAGTCCAAGGAATGTTGCTTAACTTAAGCCATAGAATAAAGCTGTGTGTTTTTTTAATTGGTAACTTTAATACATCTGAGATGTTGTTGCATATTAGATTGGCTCCAAGCGGGTCTCTTTGACTTTTTTGATTCCTATCTTTGAGCTACCACTACCTTCAGACATTGGTTGAATATGATTTGGCTTCTAAGGACTGTCTGCAATCTTCTAGGCTCTTTGAGGTCACCCACATAGGGCTCTGAACTGTCCATCTTGTTTGACTAATGAAAGTGGAGCACCTGGAGTGCCATGGACAATCAGTTATTCCCTCCCCATAAGTGATTTTAGAGCTACAGCTAGTGGCCAGACATTTGTTGTTCTCCCTTTCTTAAATTGGCCCACTGCATTTGGTTTTATTTGAAAAAAAGGTCAGTAAGATCATCCCTGTTTCACAGATAGAGAAACTGAGGCACAGAGTGGTGAAGGGACTTGCCAAAGATCCCACCAGCAGGCTAGTGGCAGAGCCAGGAATGCAACCCATTCCTTGTCAGTGTTCTATCCACTAGGCAACACTGCCAGCAGTACCCAAGGCAAAATGAACCCTTTACCCCACTGTGATCACATCCTTCATCACTGTGACAGACTGCTAATAGGATAAGAAATTGAGCTACTATAATCAGCTCAAGAGTAACAGTTTGGACGTACCTGGATAGTAAAACACTGATGGACAAGCTGAGATTTATGATTTTAAGTCCCTGCAGACTGGCCAACGGCTTTGATCTATCACAGCTGAAGGGAACATTAACCACGGTAGAGTAGTCTTGGTTCATTGCATTTTGATTATGAAAGTAATTGGGCCCTTCTAGTTAATATGATCATTCTCAATTTGCATGTTTTTTCAGATTTCAAAAGAGAGCCTATTTAAAGATCTAGCATGTTGGTGTGGGAACGCAACTTTGGGAAGGCTCATTGCAGAGTAATTGTCAAGCTGTTAGAGCAGCAAGAGTTCTTGAAATTAGGGGAAAGAGCACCAGCTAAGTGGATGAATCATAGTGT